GTGTTAGTAGGCGAGACTAGGCACTCGTGCTTGCCATACTTCCTCACCTATTTGTGTCCCTACAAATCATGTAACCTACTTTTACTCAAAGTTATAAAATATTCACTCCATACTACGTTTTGGACCATAATTTGAGTAACAACTTTGGATGACCAAAGTAACACAAGTGTACGTTCACATTAACTTAGAATCCACTTGACAAGATTTTTGCTTCTTTAAACTCTCTCTAAAAACTCTTCTAACTAGACAAAGTACTTTTAAAAAATTATTCAGATTCAAAAACTTCTTAATTTCAAAAACAAAATTTAACTTTTTAAAAGTCGTGTCGAACATACCCTCAAAACCCATCCAAACTATCATAAATCTAATGTTGCATGATAATTACATGGTTGGCATCAGAAGAAGCCAACATATATCAATTTTTAGCATGCATTATAAAAATTGACATATATATATATAATTAGCTGTAGTTGGAGGGCAGTCGAATCTCTGCACATGGTGGGTCACTCCTATTTTAGACGTTTGTTTGTTTAAGGCATCATTGCATCACCCATTTCCTATTTCTCTTTTATGCCCATCGTAGACAACGGCAAACTTGTTTACTTTATCGAATTCGCTCAACTGTCTCGATCGATACAATTGAGAAAATTTAAAATGGATAATATAACAATTCATATTATTGCTCTTCCTTAATACTGTCTAATCTTGATTGATTCGAGAAATTATAATGTATCGGACAGTACTTTTTAGTCTGTAAAAGTATTTTAAAGGAAAGTAGATAAAGACGATCGTGTCAAAGCATTGAAATGAAATGTAGAATGTGGTTTTAATTTCTATGGTGTGACCTCGTATGGCAACCAAATTAATTTGGGGACAACTTCATTAAATGCTTATTTGACCATAAATAGTGTCCCAACCCAATTAACGGTTCGATTGGATTATTTATTTTCAATACCTACTAATTTGAGTACGGATGGAGTTTGTCATTGCTCCATATCCTAACATATTAATGTAAAAAAAAAAGGCTGGAGTAGTTACATACTTTTAAAGATTTATTTATAATTACTTGTAATATTCTTAATTTAGGTAATTATTTGCAACCTTCTAAACTTGTTGGCGAGGAAAGACCTACCTTACAAAATTGACTGAGAATTGGTGTGGTAGTTTATATGCACTACAGTCAACTATGTCAACTCACTTCTTCTATTGGTACGTTCGTATTGGTGTCACATCAACCGTCTATAAATTTAGCCATAGTTTGATTAAACTAGAAACGATTAATAAAAAATTAAGTTAAAGTGAATAATTAATTTTAATTATATACTTTATGGGATCATAATTTTTATTTACTTTTCCATTGCACATTTAGGTATTTTTTTATTATCAAAATTTACTAAAAATTTAATCTTTAACTAAATCAAACATAGACATAATTGTTAGTTTGCAATCTTATTTCTCCTTCCGTATGGTACATCCATAAAAGCTTTCCAAATACACAATTAATTAAAATATATAATAAAAAATATTTTATTAATTAAATATATTAATGTCATTTATGATCACAATTACTTACTAGTTATAATCCGAACATGTCACAACCACAAATTTCATAAATCATAACTTATTAATCGATCACAAGTTATCAAATCAATTGATCATCATTATTTTTCTCTCACAAATTACAAATTTTATAGGCGACAACTATTTATCGATCACAAATTATCAAACTAATAGATCATTTTCTCTATTACAAATTTTAAAAGTTATAATTTATCTATCAATCACAAATCATCAAATTAATACGCAAATTATTATTTCTCAATCACAAATTTGATAAGTCGCGGCTTATTTAACGGTTACAAATTATCAAATTAATTGTTACGAACCTTTTCTTGTCATAAATTAACAAATTAATTGATCACAACTTGTTAAGCGATCACAAATTACAATTAATTGGTCATAATCACTCGTTTAACTAGTTACAAATTTCTACTCGTCTTCCCCATCCCACTCTACCTCGTCATCTCCACTCCGCACGATCGAGGATGCTCCACCGTCATCCCAACATCGCCACTGTTTGTATAACCCATTGCACCAAAACAAACACTACTGCATCATTCCACACACCGTAGCACACATAGATCACAAACCACCGCACACTGTCATACGCACAAATCACCATCGCCATCGCCAGCACCATCACTACCACCACCCCACCCCTAAAGCTCTGGGGCGACATCATCATCATAGCTCATAGTAACAGGTGCCACGCATTATCGCCGTTGCTACAGCAACTCTCTCCACCGTATGTAGTGTCCACGGGGAGAGAGAGAGAGAGACTAGGGTTTGAGATTGAAAATCGGGTGTATGTGTGTATAAATTAATTTAATTTTATAACATTTTAGACATTTAAAATTTGAATTATTGCCTGAATAAAAACTTTTAAACCTTAATTTTTAATTGAAAAGTTAAAAACATGTGTAAGTGTAATTTCCGCATAATTTATATGGGTGAACAATATTCCGATCCAGTCTACATATAAATTTCATGTGTAGTGACTTAATAAAATATTAAATCTAGAATTGAACTAAATTTTGATTAGAAGAATATGATTTTCAATTTTAAGATCTAAAATTAGACAAATAGTGATATGTAGCATAATTCGTCTACGTGACAACACAATGATGCCCCTAAATGCGAGAATTTATTTATGTGATCCAACCTAATTTTCCAACTCTGTTCCTGAAAGTAATTATCTATCTGAATGACTGAATCCCACCAATCCATTTAACCTTTAAAATTCAATTGTTTTTAAACTCAATTTTAATCTAATTTTTCAAATAAAATAATTATACATGTGAAATTATAAAATTATTATTTTTAAATACTTTTTAACCATACATTTTTTAAAATCACTTTTCACAAATTTATTATCAAAAAATTCACATTATACGCCATTAATTCTAGTTCGACCCAGGTGGTTCTAAAAAGTGAGGAAAAAGAAAAAAAGAAAAAGAAAAAAAAAGGGTCCTTCCCTCCTTCCATAGAAATTTAATCGCAATGTGATGGGTTCGATTTTTGAGATATGGAATTAGACTCTTTTTGAGCACCAGTGTACAGGCAAGCTCTTGTTTCTTGGTCTGTTGGGGTACATTCAACGATTTACTTTCCTCACGATGCTTCAGGGGCAAGGTCGTAGGGACCTTCAAAGTTGCGGTTCAACGTTTTTTTTTTTTTTTTTTTTTTTTTTAAATTAACCGGTTGGTTGCCGTACATATTTGATAAGTAAAAATGAATTTTATTTTAAATGGCGGTGTGGATATACCATTTTCACATTGGCATAAAATCAAACCCGCGGAATCCAATGTTAGACTTCCCTCTTCCCTGCCAGTCTTACTCCTCCATAAAACCCCAATTTTTTTCTTCATTCCATTCATTCCGTCCCCAAATCCCTATCCAAATTTATTCATATGGTAGTCTATTAAGCATTTTTTTTTAAAACCCAAAATGTCAAAATCCCCAATCCCTTCTTGTTTTCGTCCGGCAACCACCAAAACTATAACCCACCACCGCTCCACCACGGCGGCGCCGCCTCCCACCCACAATCCTAATCTGACAACCTGTCTTTACAACACTGGTTTAGGCCTATTTGCCCTGACCTGGTCACGGAACCTCTTTAGCCGCTCCCTGCACCTCCACTTCCTCCTTGACAACTGTTCCTCCGATAATGACAAAGATTTCTCTTTTCCTTCCTTATCCACTTCTTCTTCCTTTCACCTCCTTATCAAGCCCTTTATTTTCTGGAGGAAACAAGGCTCTAAAAGGCTTGATATAAACACCAAATCAGTTAAAAATGCTTACGTCTTTTGGGATCTTTCTAGAGCCAAATACGGAGCTGGACCCGAGCCCCAGACCGGATTCTACATCGCCATTGTTGTAGATGGTGAAATGATCCTACTAGTTGGCGATTCTGCTAGAGAAGCCTATGCTAAAACCAAAGCAAGAAATCCTAAAAGAAACCAGAAAATGGTGGTAAGAAGAGAACATGTGTATGGCAACAAGCTTTACGCTACGAAAGCCAATTTCGGTGGCAAAGAGAGGAATATCTCGGTCGACTGTAGAATCGGTAACGACTCTAGGTTATATATTTCAGTCGATAACAAAAGGGTTCTGCAGATCAAGCATTTGAAATGGAAGTTCAGAGGCAATGAGAGAATTGAAGTTGAGGGAGTGAATGTACTGGTTTCATGGGATGTATACAACTGGTTGTTTGAAGAAGATCGAGAACATGGCTATGCATTATTCACATTCAGATTTGAAGATGATGAAGATTTCAACAACAATAATATGGGGAATGTGATTTGGTCCCAACAGTCGTTTGGATTTGGATTTGAAACCAAGAAAATGAAGAAGGGTTTGTTGAGATCGGCTGGGAGTTCATCATCTTCGTCATTGTCATCAGTTTCTTCAAGTTGCAGCTCTGTTATGGAATGGGCAAGTAAGGAAGAGAATGAATTGAAGGTTCCCTCTGGATTTTCTTTGCTGATTTATGCTTGGAAAAGCTGAAGATTTTTTTCTTTATTTTTCATTTTTCACTAACCCATTTGTTCATGAACATAATGAAATCAATAAAAAAGATTTATCAGAATTTCAAGAACTGATAGCTTATATAGATCTAACATACATGTGTTGATTCACTTTCCCTGTTTGTTTCTGGCTTTCTGCAGTGTACCAAAGTTGTAACAGTAAACCGATTGATGAAGAAAAAATTGTCATTTTTAATTAGTTTAATTGATTTACAATAGCATTTATTTCCAGGTTTGAGTTTGAATTTCTCCAACATTGTCTTGTTAATGGACTGCACAAACGTGCATTGAACATCAATGTCTCTTTATCGTACACAACTATTTATGTAAAAATAGCATCTTCTCTTGTAATAAATTTTCTCCACCCGTTGGAATTTAAGGTGCCGCTAAATGGATGGATACTATCAACATTCACGAATGATCAATATCGTACGGTAGAATCGAAAAAAAAAAATTGCTGCTATGTTGATGGACTCGAAACATCCGCCATGGAAACGATCCAGTTGCAAAAACGTTATATTGAATTAATAAAGGGAAAAGTAATTTTCTGAAATTAATAAAAAATAATAAAATGTGAAGATTTCTGTTTTTTCATGGCATTTTTTTCCAAATTCATAATGTGTGCATGCTTCTTTTTTGCCTGCTGGGTTGCATTGAGGCTGGCAATGAGTTGTTTGATTATGATTGGAATAGTGACAGTATTAACTAATTAATTAATTAATTAATTTGTTTGTGTGGAGATTCCAAAGTTTGGAAACAATAATACAATTTGGGCATGTGAATGGTGATTGGTGGGTCTTCTTTGGTTGATTTCTGTCTCTATTTTGACTTTTCTTTTTCCAAATTATTGTTGCTTTACAACAAATTAAGGACACACTTATTAGAAACTCATAATTCTTTGCTAGGCACCTTACTTTTATCTTTTGTCGTTAACAACTAAGAAAAACACGTAAATATTTATTCGTTATCTTGTATGGTCATACATCATAAATATATGAACAAAATAATTTGATTTATTGTTTAATCGACACGTATTTGTACATAAATGGATTTGGTGAGAGTTAAGCATTTCGTGAAATTTACGATTCATTGGGACCTTAGTTTCTAAAACATATTAATAACATTTGGAAAAGTAAGAAGCATAGGACAAGAAATCTAACTTATTAGTTAAACTAACTCAGAGCATTTGGTCAAATGCGTGCTTTGTAATTTGTAAGTGAAAACAAAATGTTGATTATGTTAATGTTAGTTCCATTTATATTAACTTGTGATGTACGTGACGTGTCCATTATTGGATTGTGACCATTGAGAAAAAATTGAATTTTTTAATCAGTCCTTAAACTTGACGCTCAATTCATGTCATCGTGCTGGAAACCAAATTCAACATTGAAATTATTATTATTATTATTATTTACTTTTCAAATTTGTATATAAAATAGGTCTAAGAGGACCCCAAAAAATTGATGCAAATCACAAGAAACATTGCACATGGGTTGTTGATTACCTGACCTAGACCATGCAAGAGCAAATGGCATGATTATTTGAAGTCTTTTTCCCATCATTTCAACTCTTTTGTTATATCTTGTGTTGACCTTTGATGTTTTATTTCAATTTTTTTTCGCTTCACTTTTAATGCGATTCTATTCAAGTTTTCGATCTACAACAACAATAAATGATTGAAGAAGTGTCAAATTACTTTTGTTAGTGTTATTTCAATACTGAAATATAGAAGACTCGAGGTACAAGTAATGTGTGAATTTTACCAAGATTTTGTGATTAAGATACTTTAACTTGTATGATGATTTAAAATCACAGATATCAAATTGTATCCACAACATTTATTCGATTTAACCGAATATCTTTAGTTGCGTAAAAACAGGTCGAACCAATTCATCCAAAAGAAATAGACTTTGACACACTCATTTCTTTTTCGGTGTTCTGAACAATGTCTAATTTTTCACATGAATTGACTGAACTTTCATAATAGACCAAATCAAACAAGGGTGTAGTCGCACCCACCTCTAATGCCAAAGTCTTAAGTGAGGTCAATTTGTGTTTCTAAGAATGAAAGAGTGATTGGACAGATCAAATATTCAAGTTTTGAATCTCATTTTGAATCAAGTTTGAAGACTGCCGTGTCTGACTCGGCGGCTTTGGATGATCACTTATAATTAACTTGATCCCTTTTAACTGTATTTCAATATTGGATAGACATCATAATAATAAATTTAAAAAAAGCACATGCCTCCATCTGCTGCATTCAAACCAGAGATATCAAATAGCAGAAATTTACAGTGCTTGTTCCAAACTAACTCACGAATTGGCTCTCCAATGATTTTTTCAAAAAAAAGAAAAAAAGAAAAAAAGAAGAAGCTGCGTGTGTTGGGGGAGGGGGGGGTACCAAAGTGTCTTTGGCCAACCAAATGGATGCAATATTTTGCATGACAAGCCAATATCAGTAAAGAATACAAAAAGAATTTGTTACAGCATAACATGGCAAGGCATGTACAAAAAATGTAACTAGCAAAAGATCGCGCGTAAGGCTCCACCAGTACAGTCGCAATGTTTTCCTATTTTGTCCACCAGTAAATTAATATGAGAAACGTGCAAACAGCAGCAAGCAAGGAAAGGATGATGGTATCCATGGACTTTTTCTTCTTTATTGCCGAGAGAATGTGATTCACCTGCAACATTGAATCAATTACAATTTGACAGATTCATCAGCAAGTAAAACTATCGTCTCCATTTTCATCATATATGGCTCTAACAAGCAACATAGATAAATAATTCATTTAGTTGTGTGTCGATTCAAATGACAGTATGATTCTCTTCGAAGAAATTAATTTGAAGGTCCCATATCCACACGTTCTTTATGTCAAATTATACTTCAATTAACTGAAGGCTCTATAAAAAGTATTCTCATGCCTTCAAAAACTACCTCAATCAAAACGGTAAAAAGTAAAAACCTTTCTTCACCCCTCTAAACACCCACAATGTAAGATGGAAGAAAACAAAGAAAATCAGCAGTATGAAAAATTAATTTCCTTACAGTTGGAAGCCGACTGCTGACATTACTAAGCTTTGAGTTAATGCCCCCAAATGTCGAACGTTGAAACACGAGTGATTTCAAGGTCTCTTGGGCTTGTGAGATCACAGAGTCCACCTGCAGTAACTAGGAATCAGTTACCAGAGATAAACATGAACGCAAAGTAAAAAGATACATATCGAGAATTATAAACGGTTACATAAACAGCAATTCCTCAGGATAACTACCTAGCCCAAGTTTGTCTACAGCATCCTCCAAACAAACAATGACACGAGGAATGAATATATCATCCGCAAAGACATTTAAAATTTGATGTTGAATCTAATAGTTTTTATAAGAAATCCTATTTTCACCAGCATCTTGTCATCCTTCATACAATTTTCTCACTCCTCAAACCACCAAAAATACAGGCATAAAGATCCCTTCCTCTATGAGGCTACCTACAAGATTTAAGTCAACACAACCACCAGTCCACATTGAGAAGTGATTGCAAGATGGCATGACCAAAATGTGAGGCGATCCTTATGTATGGAAACTTGTACGTGAAGTAGCTTGATTTTGCATGTCATACCTTCCCTATGAATCTATGGTTTGCTGGTCAACTATTGTCATACAGGAGGATGAAATTATCTTAATTCTGAAAACAAGTTGATGCTTACTTTAATTAATTGGCAATAGTTGTCTCGAACTTTTCCAAGACAGCAATAACAAATTATATTAAGAATAAAACATACTGAAATACCTAACATGGATAGGTCCAGCAAACCAAATTAATCCACACAAAACACAAGTCAATATAAGAGTTTTAGAGGCAATGACTTCGCATGAAGGTAAAGAAAACAAAACAAACTCATTATTCATCCTGCTCCACCAGTGGAGATCCAATTTAGCCCCCATTTGGCCCCCATTTTTGGTAAATGAAAATGGGTGGAATAGTATTTTTTTTGAAAAATGAGTAGTTGAAAAAAAAAGAGGAAAAGTTTTCGATTTACGTGTAATATTATTTTATGGAAGATTGTGTGGTTGAAAATAGGAGAAAGAAAAATGAAATGTAATAGGGGCCAAACGGGAGCTTAGTGTCTTAATATTTTCACAACTGCCACAAACATGCCGATATGGCAACAAAAAATAAAACTGTCAAACAAGACAAAAGTTCTAAGTTCAATGGAGTGGTCACAAATTTATGAATATCACCATGCATCGAACATGTATAGCCTCTATTGTATATTTTGTAGCTAGCCCAGTAGTTTGTCGTTAAATTTGTAAGGCAACAGAGAGATGCTTGGCCACCATATTCACTAAGTCATGCATACATACAAACAAAACTGAAATTTGTTTAATCTGAAAGATGTAGTAATTCAACTTTACCAGTTCATAATCTTTCCTTAAAATGCCAGATTAGTCTCAATTACCTGTCCTGTACTTCTATTGAGGGTAGCCCGCTCTTTGAGGAGAGCTTGGTCATATGAACCACCACCATCTTCCAGGTCTAATCTTGTCCGATCAAACTCCCTAAAATCCTCGAGTAAAGAAGCATGCTCTTTCTTTGCTCTTTGACTAGAGCGAAGCCGATTAAATTCCTACAAACCAAATGATATATTCAATCAACATCAGCCATATCTTCTTAATTTAAAATAAATCCAAAAGAATCATGCAATCAGATCATAGTTGTATTTGACACCACATCTGTCTTTCTTTCTTCATGTTTCCAGTTTTGCACCATATGGTTTAATACACAAGTCACGTGGTTACAAATAGTCTGCCATGGAACTGATTTCAGTGGAGGCATAATTTAACTACAAAGATTTTTTCCCCAACAAAACAGTGACACAATAATATTAAAGCTGTTATAGCCTTTTGCAATTGTTCCCTGCAAATTTTTATATTTAAACGATGTCTAATGACCTCATTTTAGATTTTAACGATAAAATCTTTTTCAATTTTACCAAACTAGCTACCTAACAAAACAGAGCGAATTCACTTTAATTTACATTAATTTCATAAATATACTTAAATTAAGAAAACACAACTCCACAAGTCTCGTGCTGCAATCCTAATAAAACATTTTATACAAATAAATTTAATAATCTACATGAATTAAACTATTTCAAATGAGATAAAAAAATAAACACGCTAAATCTAACAATAAAAATTGAAATTAAGAACTCTAAAATAATAAAAAAAGGTATATGGCGGATTGTACATGGGGGTATAAGGGGGACAGTACGTGGGGTTTGATACTGGGTTGGGGTTGGGGATGTTGGCCACTAATTAGGAATTGAAATGTGGGAGAGTAGGTGAAACCATGGTTTAAAAAGGCTAAACTAAGGAGGGCCTCAATTTGAGGCGCTCAAAAATTGTCTTGGGTGCGAACATTTAGTTTGGTTAATGAGGCTTATACTTGTATTCATCAAGGTGTAATCCTCAATGCGCACGGCTCAAACAATGACAGGCATGCGATCTTCTTTATTCAGCTTGGTGGAGCCATTTTCATTAAAACCTAACAAACTTCGTTGGCTTACCATCTTTGGAAACCTACTTAATTTCTTTGATTATTTATTAATCAACCATAAATAAAAAATAAAATTAAGAGTAGTGTTATCTAGCATCAGTGGCGTTGAGTACGAATTTAGGCGGAATTAAATGATAATTTCAATTAAATGGGCCCCATAGCTTTAACATTTCATTAGACATATCATTTAATGTCAAGTGTTTGCATTCTATTGCTCAACAATAGCATTATTCTAAATCATAAATCCAAACACGTAAATTATAAGACCTGCTTTTGTTTCTTCTCTTTATCTTTATCTTTTTTTTTTTTTTTTTTTCCTTCTTCTTCTTCTTCTTCTTTCTAGTCCACTTTTCTGTTCCCTTTCTTCATTTTTACTTATTGTTAGATGGAAAACATGCATGAACCCGAGATAAATACATGCATGCACTAATTAGATGAACAACTTTTTGGTAAGTCTTTCAGTAGATTAGGTTAATTAACTTGTGATAGCACAGTCATCTTAAAAAGTCAAATTCCAAGAAACATCAATAGGATCACATTCAAGATTGTTAGAAGTTCCAACAAATCATCTCTCTGTGAATGTCATTAAAGTCGATCTCTCTAATTTTTTCCCTTTTTAAACTTAGGCCCTATTTGATTCTCATTTTTATCAAAATACATTTTTCTCTCTTCTTTTTAACCACACATTCTTCATTAAAATAACATTACACGTAAATCAAAAACTTTTCCTTATTTTTCATCTACACATTTTCCATCAATCTACTATTCTAAAATTCATTTTTTTCCTAAAAATGGGTGTCAAAAACTCTCTAAAGGTCCAATCAAGAGTGCTGTTTGCA